AACAACAACAACATAATATCTATATCTATCTATCTATCTATCTGTCTATATATTTAATCCTCATAACTGTTTTGTTAGATATTGTGGTGGTATTAGTTGTTATTATTTGGGCCATAGAGTCAGCTCTGACTCATAGCAACCCTATGTACAGCAGAATGAAATACTGACCAGTCCTGCGCCATCTTCACATTCATTGCTATGTTTTAGCTCATCATTTCAGCCACTGTGTCAATCATTCCATTGAGGGTGTTCCCCTTGCTGACCCTCTGTTTTACTAAGCATGATACCCTTCTCCAGGAAGTGGTCCCCTTCTGACAACGTGACCAAAGAACATGAGATGAACGCTGGTCATTCTTGCTTCAAAGGATCATTCTGGCTGTACTTCCAAGAAAGATTTGTTTGTTCTGTCAGTGCATAGTATTTTCAGTATTCTTTGCCAGTACCACAATTCAAATGCATCAGTTCTTCTTTGATCTTCCTTATTCACTGTTCAGCTTTCACATACATACGAGGTGATTGAAAGTATCATGGCTTGGATCAGGTGTACCTTAGTATTCAAAGTGACACTTTAAAGAGGTCTTTTGCAGCAGATTTGCCCAGTGCAATACCTCATTTGATTTCTTGACTGCTACTTCCATGGACAATGTAGATTCAAATAAAATGAAATCTTTGACAATTTCAGTCTTTTCTCCGTTTTCAGGAAGTTGCTTATTGGTCCAGTTGTGAGGATTATTGTTTTCTTTATGTTGGGTATAATCCATACTGAAGGGTATAATCTTTGATTTTGATCATTAAGTGCTTTAAGCCATCTTCACTTTTAGCAAGCAAGCTTGTGTCATCTGCATATTGCAGGTTGTTAATAAGTCTTCCTCCAATCCTCATGCTTCATTCTTCTTCCTTTAGTCCAGGTTCTCAGATTATTTGCTTAGCATACAGATGGCTAAATATGGTGAAAAGATAAAGTACTGACACACACTTTTCCTGATTTTAAACCATGCAGTATCCCTTTGTTCTGTTCAAACGACTGTCTCTTGGTCTGTATACAGGTTCCTTATGAGCACAATCAAGTGTTCTGAAATTTGCATTCTTCTTGATGTTATCCATAATTTGTTATGATCCACACAGACCAATGCCTTTGCATAGTCAATAAAACACAGGTAAACATCTTATATTTTTTGCTTTCAGCCAAAATCTGTCTGACATTAGCAGTGGTATCCCTCATTTCATGTCCTTTTCTGAATCAGCTTTGAACTTCTGGCAGTTCCCTGCCAATGTATAGCTGCAGTTGTTTTTGAATTATCTTCAGCAAAAGATGGCTAGCATGTGATATTAATGATCTTGTTAAAGAATTTTTGCATTCTGTTCGATTGCCTTTCTTTGAAATGGGCATGAATATGGTCCTCTTCTAGTCTGTTGGCTAGGTAGCTGTCTTCGTAACTTTTTAACATAGACACGTGAGTGTTCCCAGCATTGCATCTGTTTTTGAAGCATCTCAATAGGTATTCTGTCAATTCCTGGAGCCTTGTTTTTTGCCAGTGCCTTCAGGGTAACTTGAACTTCTTCCTTCAGTACCAATAGTTCTTGATCAAATGCCACCTCCTGAATTGGTTGAACATTGACCAATTCTTTTTTGGTACAGTGACTCTGTGTATTCTTTCTGTCTTTGGATGCTTCCTGTGTCATTCAATTTTTTGATCATAGAATCCTTCAGTATTACAACTCGAGGATTGAATTTTTTTTCTTCAGTTCTTTCAGCTGGAGAAATGCCAACAGTGTTCTCCCCTTGGATTTCTAACTCCAGGTCTTTGCACATTTCATTATATATTTTACTTTGTCTTCTTGGGCTGCCCTTTGAAATCTTCTTTTCAACACTTTTACTTCATAATTTTTTTTGTTTGCTTTTGCTACTCTATGTTCAATAGCAAGTTTCAGAGTCTCTTTCGACATCCATTTTGGTGTTTTCTTTCTTTCCTATCTTTTAAATCACCTTTTGCTTTCTTGATGCTTCATGTGGCATGTCCTTGATGTTATCCCACAACTGGTTTGGTCTCTAGTCATTACTGCTCAGTGCATCAAATCCATTCTTGAGATGGTTTCTAAATTCAGGTGGGATGTATTCAAGGTTGTAGTTTGCCTCTTGTTGACTTGTTTTAATTTTCTGCAGCTTCAACTTGAACTTGCATGTGCAATCGATGGTCTGTTCCACAGTCAGCCCGTGGCTTTTATTTTATTTTATTTTTTTATTGTGATTTGGGTGAAAATTCACAGAGCAAATTCACTTTCCATACAGCAGTTCACATATACTTTGTCTCATGACATTGACTACAATTGACCACAATGCAACAGCTCCCTTCCCACTTCCTCTTCCCTGTGTCCATCCCTCCATGCGCTTCTGCCCCCTGAGCTCTCCCTGTGCATAAACAGCCCTTCTTTCTCCCATAATTGTTCTCTCCAAGGAGTGTATTTACCTCAGGTAAATGTTCAACTCCTATGCCTGTCCTTTGCTTGACCTGGCTTTTTCTTGACTGATGAAATTGAGCTTCTCTATTTTCTCTTTCCACAGATGTAGTTAGTTTGATTCCTGTGTAAACCATCAGTAAGGTCCACAAGTATAGTCTTTGTGTTGTTGAAAAGAAGTATTTCTGATAAATAAGTTGTTGATCTTGCAGAATTCTGTCATGTGATCTCTGGTGCCATTTCTATCACCAAGGCCATATTTTCCAGCTGTCGATCCTTCTTTGTTTTCAACTTTTGCATCCCAATCATCGGTAATTATCAATGTATCTTGAGTGCACATTCAATCAGTTTCAGAGTGCAGTGGGTTGTAAAATTCAACTGTTGTTGGTGTGTAAATTTCAGTAATAGTTGTGCTAACTAGTCTATCTTATATATAGGCGTCTGGTTATTAACCTATCACTGGCTGCATTGTACTTCAGGTTAGATCTCAAAATGTTCTTTTTAATGATGAATGCAATGCCCAAACCCAACCAACCCACTGTCGTCGAGTCAATTCTGACCCATAGCAGCCCTATAAGACAGAGTAAAACTGCTTCCCCATAGGGTTTCTAAGGCTGTAAATCTTTTTGGAAGCAGACTGCCTCATCTTTCTCTGGGGAAGTGGCTGGTGAGTTCCTACTGCTGACCTTTTGGTTAGAAGCTGAATTCCATAACCACTGCACTACCAGTGCTCCTTAATGTGATGCCAATCCTCTTCAATTTGTTGACTATGATTGTCAGATTCAAAATGGCCAATCCCAGTCCATTTCAGCTCACAAATGGCTAGGATATTATTCTTCAAGCAGTCATTTTC